TGTAAACATTATGACAATGGCGACACACAGAGACAAACAACTCGAATCATCAAGGAGAATCAAAAAAGATGAAGCAATAAGAGTTTAGAGACCTTAGGTTAATAAGTTTCCTTGCGTTTTCTTCCAAGTATTGAAGCTCTCTGGAATCGAGCACCTCCTACTCTCCATTTCTTGAACTCTGTCATAGACAAGTGAGCTGCTTCGTACACTGCAAAAGAAACGAAATGATGTTTCAGGTGAAGAAGACAGTAACTAAATTCAAAAAAAAACTAAAGAGTTAATAAGGATTTAATTACAGTTTGTTTCTTCTTTTGTTAAGAGTGGCAAGAACTTGGAAGCTGTTATATGAGCTGCGGTGTATACTTTTGTCAGTGTCTCTTTGTATCTGATCTTAAACGCAGTCGATAGCAAGATTCCAATCGTTCTATCTGTAACTCTGTTCCCAGATCAAAGAGACAAACAAACTGTGAAATCAAGGAGGTGTCGAACAAACTGATCGGATTACTGACAAATATTTTAAGAAGAGTTTCTTTAGAACAAAAAATTCAGAATCTGGTTATTGTAAAACGTTAGTAACAGACGATGAAAAACAATAAGTTCATAGCAATTCAGTCTTAACAGAAACTTCCAAACTGCTTCACAATTAGTCAACTTCCTCAATAGATCATATCAGATTCAGCTTAGGAACTTGTGAAACACTACGAAAACTTGCAATCAGAGCTAAATGCGCCAAAACTTGTGCTGATTTCTCAAGATTACAAAGCAAATCTGACACTCGGAAAACCATTTTTACTCATGAAACCAAGAGAAACAGATCAATATCAAAATAGGGAGGCAAGTGGACAGAATCAGAAAGGGACTCACAATGGCTCTAACTTGCACCCAAATTCGTAGAAATACGGACAGCGTGATCTAAGATCTACACACGCTGCATCAGCCTGTATTTCAAGCTTCGTCCTGCATAGACAAACAAAGCCATAAAAACGCTAGTAGAGCACAAAGTTAACAAATTCGTTAAGGCTATCTGAACTTTCAACAATTCAAGAAGCCATCAGATAAACACAAAGAAAGAAAGCTAATTCATCTAAATTTTCATCGTGGGCACTCTCTATTCTTGAATACAGTCCAAACAGTACAGTAAGCTCTCTTACTTTTGGTCGAAACAGGCAGGAAGGTTTATAGACACAGCTTGTCTCAAATACAACTCATGAGCAAGCCAGAAAGGTAATTCAACTTTAGCGCCTTGTTCAACCTGCAAGAACCACGAAGAATCATATCAGAACACAAATCATCCATCACAATTTGCTCCAACAGTAAGAAAGAAAGAACACTGACACAGCTTGTCTCAGCACTTAGATCAATAGTCACTCCATTTGCTGTTTTATGGAATAACACAGGGACAAACTGCAAGTAATCAACAAAAGATTTCTCTGTAATGAAGCTTTCTATATTGATAAAGAGAAGAAGAGTCTCTCTATGAAGGAGAAGAAGTTATTATAACCTCTTCCTCTATAAGTATGTCGTCAATGTCAAAGTACTTGGCCATTCTCTTAAGGCTTAATTTCCACAAATTCAAGCTTGAGATTGAAATTCTTCAACCTGCAGGAGGATAAATCCAATCTTCATCGCAAATTAACCTTTCACTATTGGTCAATTCTGGGTTTCCCCAGATGCAGGCCTAAACCTAAGACGGCCATAAATCTACTCAATCTAACATCTGAATCTGTACACTAACAAAGAACAAAGCAAAACCCTAACTCAAATCTGAATTTCTAATTAAAACCAAATTTCTAGATTCCGCATCGATCTTAAGTTGGGGAAATCGCACCGTCACGCGGCCAAATCCGCCGGAATCGATC